AGTCAGGGCAGCCCGCAGATGTGCTCGGCCCACAAATATGCAGTTGGCAACTTCTGAACTCTCCGTGACTTGGCGACAGCTGATCTGATGGGCAATTATGTTTTATTTTGGGGCCAGGGAGACAGCAGAGAACCGGGAAAATTACAAGACATCAGAGTGCAGTTTTTCTAAGAATATCAACCACCAACTTTTTTTAAACAATTGTTTTTTTAATGGTTGGAGCTTTGCAGGGCACTAAAATAAGAAAACCTTGGACACTGAAATCAGATTACGGCCAACCTTCCTGAGGGGGCGTTTAAGCCTTTGTCCAATGAAAATCTGGGGTTGACTTTTGTTGTTGTTGTTTTGGAGGGGAGATGAATGGGATAGTGCCTACCAAGAGAAGACAATTTTGCTAGTAACAGAGGGTACAGCATAGAGGTAAAAAACAAAACCAAAAAAAAACTGGGTTTGTAGTTGGTCTTGGGCTTGAATCCTCACTCTACTTCTTTAAAGCTGTGTGACCTTGGGCAAACTGTGTGACCTTCTTAGCCTCAGCTCCCACATACTCGAAATGGGGGTGTAATACTATTATGGATTGAACTGTGTTCCCCCAGAAGATATACTAAAATCCTAATCTCATAAAAATGGAAACCCTGGTGGCACAGTGGTTAAGAGTTACAGCTGCTAACCCAAAGGTCGGCAGTTCGAATCCACCAGGTGCTCCTTAGAAACCCTATGGGGCAGTTCTACTCTGTCCCACAGGGTCACTGTGAGTTGGAATCGACTCAACGGCAATGGGTTTGGTTTGGGGGTGAATCCTGTAAATGACACCTTGTTTGGAAACAGGGTCTTTGAGGATGTTATCCTTAAATTAACAGGAAGTAAGTAAGGTGGGCCCTAATCCCATTTGAGTGGTGTCCTATAAAAGAAAAGAGACACAGAGACACAGAAGGAAGATGTCCATGTGACAACTAGAGTTATATTGTAGCTGTAAGCCAAGGAACGCCCGGGGCTACCAGAAGCTGGGAGAAACAAGAAAGTACCTTACCCTAGAGCCTTCAGCAAGAACAAGGCTGACATCCTGAATTCAGACTCCCAGCCTCCTGAACTGTGAGACAATACATTTCTGTTCTAATAAGCCACTCAATTTGTGGTATTTTGTTATGGCAGCTCTAGGGAACTAATACAAACACCTATCTCCAGGCTTACTGTAAGATTAGATGAGAAGCTTTTAAGTACCTACATAGTATCTGGCATATAGTCCCAGCACATGGAAACTAAGGCAGTGCCTTCTTGCCATAAGGTTGGTTTCTTATCATCTCAAACAAACGGTTCCTGTTTTTGCCATAATATATCAAACCCAAATAACCAGTCAGCATAAAAAGGGGAAGCTCCATATCCGGAAAAGTTTGGCTTCTACCGATTAGAGGGTTCGAGTTCGTCATCTCCCTCTGTGATAACATCGTTCCGGACTTGGCAACTTCAACAGCCTGGCTGGCTGGCCAAGACACGAAACAGCAACCAAGCCCGATCAGGGACAAAGTTTGTAATGTGTCAAAACCGAACTAAACAGGAGCCCTCACTTCCTTCTCTCCTCTTAACGTTCCAGCCTTGGGCAGCTCAAATTATCACCAAGACAGTGTCACTGAACTCACGTGGGAATAGAACATAATTGCAGCTTGTAAAGGAAACCAGCCGAAGTAAAAACATCCCAAGGAAATAGGGTGATTTTCCTGTAGGGACATTTCCCTAGTTGCCGGCTGAAGGAGCCAGACAGCTTGCCCAAGACATTCCTGATGAAGGACGATGAGTCACTCCTCCCCGGTCTCACAGATGATGCCCAGAGCTGCCTCTCCAGACCCACCTCCCTCCCAAGCCCCACCAGTCACCAGTGAGTCGACTCCAACTCATGGTGACCCCATGTGTGTCAGAGTAGAACGGTGCTCCATAGGGTCTTCAGTGGCTGATTTTTTAGAAACAGATCACCAGGACTTTCTTCCAAGTTGCCTCTGGGTGGACTCAAGCCTCCAACCTTTCAGTTAGCAGCCGAGCACGTTAACCGTTTGCATTACCCAGAGATTTCCCTAAGCCCTAGCCTAGTGCTAAATGAGAATTTCACCTAGACAACGCTCAACACTACTGGAAGGAAAATAGTCCCCTACCTAGAATGGTCATCCCTTCTTTGATTGGTTTACAAAAGAACGAGGAAGAGGCTACCTTGCCAGTCAACTCATTCATATCAACCCTGGATAACCAGAGTAACCAGAAGACATGTAGGGTTAAGCTCACGTGTCCTCATCACTCCTGTGTGCCTGCTGCCCAGCACTGTGCTGCACATAGAGACACTCAGTAATGGCAGATGAATAAATGAATTAGTGAATAAACGAATCCATGAATGAAATAACTCCATGGGAGGCCAGACAAGGCACATCATCTCATGTAACCCTGCGGGGTCGCTGTTGTTAGTTACCATCGAGTCGGCTCCAACTCATGGCGACCTCATGTATAACAGAATAAAATGTTGTCCAGTCCTGTGCCATCTTCACGATTACTGGTATGTTTGAGCCTGTTCTTTTGGCTACTGTGTCAATCCATCTCATTGAGGGTTTCCCTCGTTTTCACTGACCCTCTACTTTACCAACTACCATGTCCTTTCCTAGCGACTGGTTTTCCTGATGATATGCCCAAAGTAAGCAAGCTGAAGTCTCACCATCCTCACTTCTAAGGACCCTGAGGGTAGGTATTGCTAACACTACGTGGTGAAGGAGGGTAAGCAGTCACAGGGAGGTTAAGCAACTTGCCCACAACCACATAGCTAATAAATAATGAAACAGGCTTTGAACCCAGTCTGGCTCTGAAGTCAAGGCTTCAGCTATTGAAGCGACCCTCATGGCCATCCCATCAACAAATCACGCTTCTACCACCCCAACATTTCAAAATCGTTTCCTGCTCCCAACATTCCAGAGAGATTTTTAAGTTGGAAAAACTGACCCCTAATGAAGACTCATCATGTATTCAAGGTTGCACAACTAGTTAGAGGTGAAGTCGGAATTTGAACCTGGGCTTTCATTCTTTCAACCACAGATATTTGGGGGCATCCGCCATAGGCCAGGCCCTGTGTTAGGTGCTGGGGATGCATCGGTGAACAGGATAGGCACAGCCCATGGATTTCCCATCCAGAAAGGCATATGCTTCAGAATGGCTCTTCCCATGACACCATATATTGCCCATAAAATTTCCTCAGGAAAGCAGTCACGCTTCAGCAGTTTTGTTTTGAAGGGAGAAAATGAACTGAGAATAGAGGATGTCAACAAAAAGAAATGGTTTGCATCTGAGTAGCATGTGTTATTTTCAACACAGCTTACCAGAAACCCTATCCTTCATCAAAGCCCGATTCTGTCCGCTCCTGAGAATAGAGTTTATGAACAAGCTGGGAGACTCACCTGCAGTAGTGAAATAGTTTAGCACCAAATGAAACTCGAATATCAGATTCCCTGTTGAGTCACCATGGAACCTAGTAAATGAAGCCTCAGGCAATACAAGTAGTCCTCGACTTAATGACGGGGTTCTGTTCCAACAACTTTGTCGCAAGTCGGTTCTGACGTAAGTTGAATACTTCTTTTTTTAAAAGTTTTCATTACTATTGCCTTTTGTTATCAGTATTTTTATAAATCCAGCAGTGTTTTGAATAGTAAATCATGAAACTGAACATTTGCAAGTGAACATCTGAGAATGATAACATCAGGAAATTGCTCGCCGAAACATAGTACTAAGAGTAAGATGTACCCAAAAAAAAGGTCGTTTAAGTGTGGTTTGTTGTTAACTTGAATACTTCATAAACTGGGGACTACCTGTACTGAGTTTGCAGTTACCTGGTTAATCTGGCCTAGTCATACTTAGAGCTCAAGGTGGTGGGGGTTGGAAGGGTATGAATTAACCTGGTTAGGCCACCCATAATGCACAAACTCAGGAGTTCATTTTCCAGAAGCGGGTGCGAGAGATTGGAAAGAACTGTGGGATCAGAAAGTTCTCAAGTTCATCCCTCTGCAAAACTGGGAAGCTTTTGGTACCTTCGATGCCCAAGCATTGTTTTCCTCCACCAAACACTAAATTAAGAGTTTGATACAAAATAAAGCCTAGAGACTATAGCCAAACAGAACTTTTTTCTTCGTTTCTCATCAGCTGTAGAAAGTTGGCAGTTGTTGTTTTTAGTTATTCACGCACCAGCTCTCAGTGTCAAGTGCTAATTAGTGTTCCTGCAAAAGGACCAGCCCTGGAGTGTCCACGTCAAGACCCACACACACCACCAAAGCCATTGCCATGGCAACCATGCCTCCTAACTTTGCTCCTAGCTCTCTAAGGAAGATACTTTTCCATGGTTGGAGCTTATTTTGTTCAAAGAGTAGTTCTTTTAATAATCAACAGTGTAGAGGCTACGTGTGCTGCCTTGTTAAATTAATGAGTCACATTTACTGTGACAGTCACTTAGCAAAAAGTCCCTACACACAAGGGAGTCTTGCCAAGCTGGCGAGGTTGAGGTGTGGCTCATGGGGCACTGTTGGGCTTGAATAATGGGATGTGAGAGCAGGTGTTGAGTTTTCCCACGTGCAATCCTTCTTCGATGGTGCCTTACGAGAGACAGTACAGGCCAGCCAGCTCTTCAATGTCAGGGTCTCATTGCTGAGACTGGACCTGCGATTGCGTGGATCTCATTGGTCCAAAACCTGGGCAGGTCTGAAAGCTCAGTCCTTCCCCAGGAGGGTTTTCCCACTGAAAGCTTAGTCCAGCACCAAACCAAGGCACCTCTCCAATTCTGAATACCTCTCCCTGAGATTGCAGAGACATTATATGGAGAAAGGGTAACTAAGAAAGCAACCATTGAAAGTAAAATGCCAGGCAGCGGAAGAAATTCCAAACCCCCAAGGAACACACTAGTAGAAATTTTCTGTCAAAGCAATCAAAAACAAAATGACACATGATCACAGAGCCATGAAAGCAGGCAATTTCCCAAGGCTTACCTGGATCGGGTTGTAGAGTTCCTGCAAGGGGCTTCGGGACCGCTTTCGGCAGCAGATGTCCACACCAAAGGGATTCCTCCGCATGACTGAGGAAAGAAAGTGAAGGCTCATCAGAAATGAGCAACAAAGCCTTGTTGTCTGACAAAGAAAAAGGCATAGAGAAAGGAAAAAGAAACAAGAGGGAAGGAAGAGAGATAACTGGCTTGTAACAAAGAAAGATTTCCACTGTTGCTCCCATATCCAATGCCTGCATCTCCGCCACTGTCTTCTCCAACACTCAGGCATATCCTCACCACACCCCCCCCAAAAAAGAAACAGTTGCCATGGCGTCAATTCCAACTCATGGCGAACCCATGTTTCAGAGTAGAACTGTGCTCCATAAGGCTTCAATGGCTGTGATCTTTCAGAAGTAGATTTCCAGGCCTTTCTTCCGAGGCATATCTCGGTGGATTGGAACCACCAACCTTTCGGTTAGCAGCCAAGCACTTAACTGTTTGTACTACTCAGGGACTCCTTCTTCACACCTTTCCCCCCAAAACACACACACACACACAAACCCATTGCCATAGAATCGATTCTGACTCATAGTAACCCTATAGCACAGAGCAGAACTGCCCCATAGGGTTTCCAAGGCTGTAATCTTTACGGAAGCAGACTGCCACTTGCCTAGCAATCCACCTCTGAAAAACTAGCCACTGAAAACCCTAAGAAGCACAGTTCTACTCTGATACACATGGGGTCGTCATGAGTCAACGGCAACTGGTTTTTATGCACACTGAAATTTGAATTTCACATAATAGTCACATATCAGGAAATATTATTCTTCTTTTGATTTTGTTTTTCAACTGTTTAAAAATGCAAATCCATTCTTAGTTCTTGGGCTGTATGAAAACAAGTGGTGGGCTGGATTTAGACCATGAGCCATAGTTTGTGGACTCCTGACTGCAAGATTGGTGGTTCAAACCCACCCAGCAGCACCACAGGAGAAAGACCTGGCATTCTGCTCTCAGAAAGATTACAGTCAAGAAAACCCTATGGGGCAGTTCTACTCTGTCGCATGGGGTCTCTACGAGTCATCAATCGACTCAATGGCCCCTAACAACAACAAAGCCCTAGAGGACAGCCCCAGGTATTTGAGAAGCCAGTGTATAAGCTCCTTACACACCCTCCATGCCCTGTGGCCCTCCCAGGGGAGCCGGGGGTCTATGGGCAAACGTCAGTACAGAAATACCATTAGAATTTGATTAGTCCACATGAGAAACACTGGCTCTTTGTTCCTCCATGGTTGCCCCAAGAAGAGGGAAAAAAAAATCCATGTTGTGTTTTTCTTTAATTTATTACTTCATTTTTCATTTCCACCAAAAACGAGGTAAACTGTTAAATGCATGCACGTTGCCCTGGGTGCACAATGACATAGCGACACTTTGGTGGAGAAAAAACAAACGTAACACTTGTAAAATTATGCTCACACTGTGCAAGATTAAATTCTCCCCATGGCGGCAGACAGGCTCCTAAGGCCTGTGGGTATGCGGCTGCCTCGGTGAAAACTCTACCGTGGAACCCATTAAAAGTCCGCTTTTATGGAGGACAATATTATTTAATTGGTTTATTTTTCTAATACAAGGCCTTTAAAAGGCTTTGACCGTGTGGGGCCTGCAACTTAGGCCCTCTGCCGTGTGCCCTCCAGCTCTGCCCATGACTTCACAGGGCGCCCTGTGAACTAGCTTTGGCACCCCAGGCCACAAAAGCCAAAAGGGCCTTGTGTGCTTTTTATGGGAATGCTAACAACCTTAACATCTGTAGAATGCTCATTGTGTGCCAGGCCCTAGGTTAAGCGTAATCTTCACCCACAGTGAAGGTCTTAGATAACCACTCTGCTAACTTCGGGAACTTGACCAAGGTCAAGGTCATGTGGGTAGAAAGTAGCCAAGTGGAGATTCAAACCTGGCAGGTTTTGTCCTACCAGTAAGCAGAGTGCGACCCCCCCACCCCACCCCTGCTCAGCCTGGCCAGTCATGAGGAAGCTGACCACTGAGTCACCAGCCACCCCCGCCCACCAGGCTTGGAAGCCCAAGTCAGCATTTCTCCTGTCACCCCTACGTGACCAGAAGGGGCCCAAACTCAAAAAAACTAAACCACTTGCTGTTGAGTTGATTCTGACTCATGGTAACCCCATGTGCGTCAGAGTAGAACTGTGCTTCATAGGGTTTTCAGTGGCTGTTTTTTTTTGGAAGTAGATTGCCAGGCTTTTCTCCCAAGGCACTGAGTGCATTAGCTGTTTGCACCACCCATGGACTCCTGGCACACAGTATTTTCTCAAAAAAGGTTTACGAATAAGCCAGGACTTTACACTTCCTCTAAGGGCATCAGACAATTTATTTCCTCCTATATTTAGAGGAAGGAGCCCTGGTGGCACAGGAGTTATGAGCTTGGCTGCTAACCAAAAGGTCAGCAGTTCAAATCCACCAGCCACTCCTTGGAAACCCTATGGGGCAGTTCTACTCTGTCCTGTATGCGTCAGAATTGACTTCATGGAAACGGGTTTGGTTTTTCAGGTTTATATTCAGAGGAAGGAGCCCTGGTGGTGCAGTGGTTAAGCATTCAACTGCTAACCAAAAGGTCAGTGGTTCAAACCCACCAGCTGCTCTGCAGGAGAAAGATGTGGCAGTCTGCTCCCATAAAGATTCACAGCCTTGGAACCCCCCGAGGCAGCTCTACCCTGTCCTATAGGGCCACTATGAGTCGGCATTGACTCGACGGCAACAGGTAGATTCAGAGGAAACAGCCATGGCATTGGCTACTGTTATTTTCTTCCTTTGACAATGAAAGGTCTGGTGACGAAAAGCCCTAAGAATGGAATCCTGTAGGACATTTAACAGCCGCCATTGCTGTCCACCCACCACCATGAGTTTTATTTAGCTACATTTATTTCCTCCTTTCTAAACTTAAATCAGTGAAATTAAGGACAGCTTTTCAAGAACCTAATTGGGCCGATTTACAGTATGATTTCCTGAACCCAGAACAGTTTTGGATATTCCAAGATATACAAATGAAGCTAAAATTACAATTAAGCCACACATGTTTCTTTCACTATGATGAAGAGCACACCTTTTGAAGTGGACGCCCCACTCCCCTCCTTCCAAACACATCCTTAGGAAGTTAGCTAACTGGGAGCAGGGGTGGAAAGTCAACTCCTGACAAAGGGATCGGGCCCCTCGCATTCTCTGTGGGGCGCTCTGTGATCCTGTCAGTGCTACTGGGGCAGAAAGGAGCTGCTGGACGGTTCGTTCAGGTCTGAAGACATAAAACGAAAGTGCTGTGGGACCCTGGGTGGCAACTTGCCTTTGATATATTTCATCAAACTAAAGACATCTGAGAGTCCAGCCCCCTCAATTTACAGAAGACACTCAGAGAGCTTAAGCACTTGCCCAAGGTCCTTGATGCAGTATCAACAGAACCAGGGCAGCAGAACTCAGTAATCGTTAATAATAAAAATCATGAGAACAACCATTTCTTGACAATTTATCATATGCTCGGCATGATGCTGAGCCCTTTTCTCATATTGCTTCATTTAATCCTCATAAAAACTCTGTAAGTTAGATATAATAATAATAACCACATCATCTGTTCCCATTTTACATGTGAGGAAACTGAAGCCCAGAGAGGTTAAAGAACTTGCCTAAGATCACACAGCCAGCAAATGGCAGGGCAAATAGGAAATTCAAACCCAGGTCCGTCCATTTCCAGAACTGGTGCTCTTGACCACTTCACCATGCTATTATCTAAAGGCAGCAAAAGACGTTTTTAACAATAATTTATCATTGATAGCTCTCACCACAAAAACCAGTGCTCTCACCTCTCTCACCATTCAAAGCAAATGCACTTCTCTACCAAATCACCCAAATCCAAATGGGTCTCCCTCCTCCCGCTGGCAAAACAACTGCCACACTCTGAAACCCAGCTGACTTCGGACACTTTCCAAATCTCCTGATTTGCTAACAGCCTGAGCGTGATTGATCATCTACCCCATGCTTGGAGACCACAGAGCAGCAATGCAATTATAGAGATGTTCTTGCAAATGCACAAGTTTGTGCTGGTGCCTCAGTGCAGTGAGGACCAGCCCATCTGTCAAGGAGATGTTGGGATGGGACAGTGTCTGATCCAACCTCACCGAGTTAGAGCAAGAGCAAGTGGTACCCAGCTTGCTCAGAGGGAGTCATTCCGACAATGCCAGGCCATTCTGCTTTGCAACCGTGTGACTCACAAGCCTGTTCTAAAGGACATGAAGACACAGCTGCCCGCTCCCCCCACCCTCCCAGCTCCTGGCCTGAAGGTCATTGTGCTGAAATTATGGTGACCAGCTGTCCTGGTTTGCCCAGGCAGCTGGACCTTGGGCCTTTCAGTGCTAACACCAGGGAAGTTCCCGGCAAACTGGGACGAGTTGGTCACCTAGTAGTGCCCTCTGAAACATGGGAAAGTACAGGAGTTGAAGTCAACTAGAACTGGATTCAAACCCTGGTTTCACCATTAACTGGCCTAGGGACCATCCCATTTTACAGGAGGAGATTCATTTTATAGGTTGTGATCCATAGGGTTTTCATGGGCTGATTTTTGAAAGTAGATCATCAGGCCTTTCTTCCTAGATATGTCTTAGTCTGGAGGCGCTGCTGAAACCTGTCCACCATGGGTGACCCTACTGGTATTTGACATACCAGTGACAGAGCTTCCAGCATCATAGCAACACACAAGCCGCCAGAGTACGACAAACCGACAAACAGGTAGTGGGTCTTTATTTATACCTCATCTTATTCCAAAAAGTAGGTTTGAGGAAAGACTGAGAAACCATGTTATTTGATTCTATAGTCAAAATGGAGTCCTTAAATAAGATTTCAAGGCAGGGAATCATACAACTGGAGTTTTGCTTTTTAAACCATCTTGCTGCCACGTGAAGGTGAATCTGAGGCAGGGCCAAGAGGTTGTGCTGGGTGAGTGAGGCAGGTGGTGGCCTCCAAGTGAGCATCGTGAGGACGGCAGGTAGTAAAAGGACCGTGTCCTGTCAGGAGCACCACCTCCTGTCTGGCCTCGG